AATCCCAAGTGTGCCCGTTCAGTTGTGGCCACTGTACCCATTGAAATAAATGGCAGGATGACAGCAGCCTCATCTGTCAGAGGCAGGCCACATGTAATCGTACATGGTACAATTACACGTGGTTTGGAATAGATGATTGTCGCTGGTACTTGTAGTTCCTCTACAGCAGGCAAAGTTGGAGGACAGTCTACCTAGGACTAAGTCATTAAAATAACTGCAATTATCAAGTTTGTTATGGAAATTGAACACTGAACATCATCTTCATAACCAGCAAATCAAACACATAATCAATACAATTGTTCTACATTCTGAGATAAATCCATGAGAAGAAACAAAAGATGACTTTGCCTGCTTCCTGCACTGTAATTAAGAATGCAGCATCTAGAACACTCTTTAGCAATATAAATCCCTAATAAAGGATCTGTAAGATTATAACGTATTATGTAACACATATAATAACACAGAGCTCAAACTATTGCCATTTACAATAATTGCATTTTTATAGCTGGACATAATAAAGTCTATCATGAATACTTTTAATTTCCTTGACAGTATAGGCATGCAGTGATGCTGGTCACATTTGGACTATGAATGCTTAATAGTTTTTCTTGTAAGGGGTTAATTATTCATTAGCAAAGAAAACTGTATGCCATAAAAATATAATTTTAGCTCACAACTTACCTTAATTCACTGGACATGTTCCAAAATATAACCACAGCATGGCGAGCCTCACTTAAATGCACTGTGCCAGCACAGTCTACTGATTGCAACCTCTTCGTTATGATCACCTAAGGAAACCGCACACCGACTCTGTAGGATATTGGATATTGGATCACCTGTCTGCACCAGATCATTGCTTCTAAAAGACAACCGATCAATAATTCATTCTTCTACTGTTCCCCGTCAGCAGAAGAGTAACTTAGGACCTGTTCTGAGCCTTCCTTTTTCTACCTTTGGATTCTGAATTAAGTCTGGGAGCATTTTTAAACTGCAAGAGGCACAGCTAGGAACTGTATGCTTAATGCATTTAAAGATATATCGATCCTTTGGCTCAGGACATATGAAAAAGTGCTATTCCAGGCAACAAGTCAAAAATATGGGGTGGATTGGCTACAGAAGTAGAGATCGGACACTTTGCAAAGTGAACATTCACTTACTACAGTGAATGAATAAGGGCCACTTTAGAGCAGTGTGCTTTAGGTGGGGTGCAGTAAAAAAATCCTGCTTGCCGCATCTTCCTTAGTTTCTTTAAAGGAGAACTATGGGGTCAGTGTTTTTCCCCATAGTTCTCCTTAGGGTAACGGGAGGACACAGCATTAAGGTGGCCGTACACTTTACAACCAACGCAAGACCTTAGTCTTGCAATGGTTGTAAAGTAATTTAAAAAACGTACAATCTTCCCATCTTGGACAGGCAGATCGTACTTGTGATCACTTCCGATGACCGCAATACTGAACGGGCAGTGTATAGTAAATTTTCGGCTGGTTTTCTAGCATGCTCCTTAGACAAAAGACATGCGACCGTACAGTAGAAACGGTCGCACGTCTTCATTCACACTGCATGATTGTCGTACGATCTGGGGATTTCCCGCGATTCTCGTACAAGAATCGTGCAGTGTATGGCCACCTTTACATGCTGTTCAATTACGATACACTTTTCAGTCCTTTATCATATACAGAGGACTATGCCGCTCACATTCTCATAAGAGGCTATCGGCTCAGGCGGGACTAATGGAGGCATTACTAAGGCTGGAGTGTCCATACCGGGCACTCCATTTTCAGTGCATGTTCAGCCCTGTGTATGTTCAGCTCCCAGGCCACACAAGACCAATGGTTGTTATGGGGCAGACAGAGGGCATCCTAGCAACCAATGATGCAGTGGGGCTGGTCGCCAGCAACCCATGACTCTGTGTGACACCTCTCCAGGGTCCTAGCAACCAATGACCGCTAAAGGTAGGCAGCATCTATCGCTGGCATGGCTCTGCTTAAACATGATTAGGTATTGAAAGTATACGCAGTTTATCTTATCTATTAAAGTGACACTAAACTCAGGAGTTAAATCTTAAAAATATATTCAAGGACCTTAACTATTAACAAAACTGTATCTTATTTGTGTATCACTCGGCTGTAGATCCTCAAATCATCTCTGAATTGGTGCTGACGATGCACTTCCTTCTGGAGGGTGGCTACTTTTGTTCCCCATGGTCCCTGTGTGTGTTGTAAAGTAGTCACCACTGCAAGCTCACTCCTGTGATAGAATACAACAATACAAATGAGAAAACTAAACCTGAGATTGTAGTCCATCACAGGAGCGCGCTTGGAGCGGTGACTACTTTACAACACACACAGGGACCATGGGAAACAAAAGTAGCCACACTCCAGAAAGAAGGATATTGTTAGCACCAATGCAGAGATGATTTGAGGATCGGTCAGGCTCTGGAAACGCACTGTATCACACTCTGGCCGGCTCCCTGCGCCCAGTGCGATCTGCAAAAATGCTGATTTTTGCAGATCGCACTGAAATGGAACGCAGGCACTAATGTGCCTGTGTTCGGGTGCGGGAGGGGGTGTGTGGCTGTGGTGCCATTGACTTCAATGCACCACCATGCCCTCTTCCATCCCTGAACGCAGGGGAGACGGCTAGAGTGTGATACAGTGCGTTCCTGGAGCCTGATCACTCTGAGGGCAGGTTCACACCATTTTCCATACCAGATCTAAAACGCAGTGCATTGCGTTTTTACCGCGATTTACCCGCGTTCCGGGGCTTTTTTGGGGGGGCTTAAAATTGGCTTTCAGGTGTGTTCCAGTACGTTTGCATGCGATTTGATTTGTTTCCATGCGTTCCAGACCAGACAAAATGAGACTTGCAGTATTTTTCTGGTCTGGTCTGGAACAGACTGCGCAGGTGTGAACAGAGGATAGAAAAAGCATAGGGCTACATTTGGATGCATTTTGGTTCCGGAAACAATCTGTTCTGGTCAGGAGATTATCTGGATGTGGTGTGAATGGGCCTCGAGTGTTACTTAATTTCTTATGTCTTGCTGCCAAATTCAGAATGGACTCCCCGGTGCCTCAGGGAACAGTCTCTTATTGTGCAGTGTAATCTTTCTTCTCTCTTGACATGCTATGCTTCACAGCTAGAATGGACATGCATATTAAGAAGGCACTCTGGCTTGTGGTGTTAAGGAGCCCAGGATTTTCAGTACTAACATTGCCAGTATCGTGGAAAATATTTTATTCTGAAACTATATGCATGGCTGTATATAGAAAACAAGCTTCCCTGTGTGCACCGAAATGATGCCAACCTTCTTTACAAGCTATGCTCTTTGTGCATTCCAATTATTTTAGTAAAACGTATACTATATTGTTCTGTTGAGCGCTGTTCTATTGTATTGGCTGTTATAAGACACAGAAATATAATTTGTTATTGGACTGGCACTTTATCATCTATGCATAGTGGTTTTTGACTGGGCACATGTGTCAGGCAGTATACTCATAAGTGCGGACCTGTCAAATTGCACCCACACATGTCTGTAATGCATGGAAAGTGTACCCCTTTATACAGACTGCAGTACCTGATCACCTGGAACACAGATAATGAAAAGTATATTATCGACCCTTCAAAACATATCCCCTGAGAGTGTCCCATCCTAGGTTTAAAATGATTTGAAATGTATCAATTATGAACAAGGGTCCTAAATCATTAGGGATGAGAGAATGGAAAATGCCTTCTTCCAGACCAAGTTTGAGGCTTGTTCACACCGAAAGCGGTGCGTTCCAGAGCGGTAGCAAGTGCATTGTGGGGATAGAAGGATTCCCACTCCACCTCCTTTTCGTCCACTGGGTCTGGGTGAGTGTGTCCAGTGGAGGCCACCATGGGAGAGGGAAGCAGGGGAGGCCGAGTCTGATTCCTGAAGCCAGGTTTCAGTGACAGCAAGCAAGTTAAAAGAATTGGAGATAAGAAGATCATGCACAGCAGTGAGTTTGTTACAGATCTGAGAAGAATGACCCATACACTGGTGATCAGTATGGAAGAGTCCCATTACACTGGTGATCAGTATGGAAGATTCCCATTACACTGGTGATCAGTATGGAAGAGTCCTATTACACTGGTGATCAGTATGGAAGAGACCCATTACACTGGTGATCAGTATGGAAGAGACCCATTACACTGGTGATCAGTATGGAAGAGACCCATTACACTGGTGATTAGTATGGAAGTGTCCGATTACACTGGTGATTAGTATGGAAGTGTCCGATTACACTGGTGATCAGTACGGAAGAGTCCGATTACACTGGTGATCAGTGTCTCCTTAGATGGTGGTCAGGGGAAGAAATGGTGGTTATATTGGCGACACGTCCCCATTCATTGGTGGTTAGTGGGAAACGTGTCCCCATACATTGGTGGTCAGGAGAAGAAATGTCCCCTTAGATTGGTGGTCAGTGTAGAAGGGTCTTATTACATTGGTGGTCAGTTAGAGAGGGTCCCCATACTTTGGTGGTTAGTGGGAGACATGTTCCCATATATTGGTGGCCAGAAGAAGAGATATCCCCATAGATTGGTGGTTAGTGGGAGACATGTCCCCATACGTTGGTGGTCAGAAGAAATGTCCCCTTAGATTGGTGGTCAGAGTAGAAGGGTCCTATTACATTGGTGTTCAGTGGGAGAAGTACACCTTAGATTGGTGGTCAGTGGTATGTCCCCTGTACAGAGAGGTGAAACGTTCATTGGTGTCTGCAGGACCTTATGTGAGAAACAGAAAGTGCTCCAGGAACCCCCAGCATCCTCTGGTTGAGAAAGGCGGTCATACAGGAAGTGGTAGTTCTGTGTAAAGGGACTGCACAGCTCCTCAGTGCGGTCTCTACAATGGAAATCCCCGGTAGCACAGCCGGTTTCGGGCACACACAGCAAATCTCCTTTAACGGGCGGAACCATTGTGCTTGCGGAACTATATGCCGTATTCCTAGCACCGGAGAACTGTTTACCATGGTGCACAGGCCGGAGTGCTGCTGCAAGATGGAGTCGCGGAGTAAAGTGGAACATGAGATGAGTTTGGCAGCCCTGCGCCGCTCGGACCCGTACATCAGAGGCATTGTAGATGTCACCGGGCAGGTGGCCCTGTACAGCTTCAGTGCTAAGGCCAATGAGTGGGTAAGTCAGCCGCTGACAAAGGGACAGAGGCTGGACAGTGACTATCTGTGAGTAAAGGTGCCCATAGGTGTTGCCTGAGTTGTCGGGTCGTATATATAGCAGACAGGCCGAGGCTCATCGAGAGGATATCGATCGGACAGGTCATAAAATCTTGTCCAGGCCATGTTGGTAGGAAGACACCAGAGGTGCAGTTAGCTGTGTTTCTGTCCTGTAGTTTTAAAGGAACCCTCACACCAACCTATTGCAGGGAAAACACAGAAACAACAAATATAATAAATGTTTATCCTTTCCATAAATGTATTTTTATTCACATGGAATTGGCCTCCTAATTTGCTAGAAATTTAGACCACTCCAGGAATGGCAATCCTTTAGCACAGCCCCCTTCATGTCATTGCCCTCTCCTCTAGTGGGAGTGTTTAATTACTGTCTGTGCTGGTCCAGCTCCTCCGCTTCTCACCTCCCCATCACAGCAGTCCCAACAAGGTGAGAGAGTGCACTGCACATGTGCGGTTTTATGTCCGAGGGAGAGTGCTCGTTCCCTAGATGCTGGGGGTACATCTATGATTCTGGTGCTGTTCCCATTGGTTGTCATGTCATAGATTCTGCGCTGGATGTGGAGGAACTCTTTTAATGGACGTTATCTGGCCAATGGCTGTCACTCCAGGGCGCATGTTTTTGCATGGACATGTGAATGAGGCCAAAGAGCAATGCCACACTTGCAACTTTGTAGCAGAGATTTGTAGCAGCTCCAATTGGGCTGATGTCAGATGGGCGACTCTGTCAATGGGGAAATTATTAAGCATCGTTAAAAGAGAACTATGGAGTAACCTTTTCATCCCATAGTTCTATTAAGGGTCATGAGAGGACATGTTCTAACGTTCTCCCGTGACCCAAAGCTCGGTATATAGCGGGCTACTGCTCACTATATACCTAGATCGCCGCAGCCGGGACGGATCCCGACAATGCTGTTAAGATCAACGCAGCTGCGTGAGCAGGCCCGGCGCTACCGCAAGTCAGGCGGCCGCCTGAGGGCGCTGCAGGGTGAGGGCGGAAAAAGCAGGGCATTTTGACAAGTACTTGTACTTGTCAAAATGCCCCGATGCTTGCACTATGTTTTTAATTTTTTTCTTCACTTACCTTCGGTGCGGTAGAGCAGCGGCGAGTCAGCGCTGGTCCGGTGGGAGGAGCTCCAGGTGGGGGGTCCTAATTTAGCTGGACAGCAACTGCCAGAGGTGCCGCGCGTGTCGAGATCCTCTGGCAGTCGCCGGCCAGCTAAATTAGGACCCCCACGTGGAGCTCCTCCCACCGGACCAGCGCTGACTCGCCGCTGCTGTCCCGCACCCAAGGTAAGTGGAAAAAAACCCAAAAACATGCTGATAGGGAGCAGGCCCAGCGCGACGTGGTGGGGGTAGGGGGGCGCAAAAATTCAACTTTGCCTGTGTTGGCAAAAATCCTAGCACCGGCCCTGTGCGTGAGTGACAGCTGGCTCTGCCCGCCACCTCCCCCGTCCGTTTCTCCACTCAGCGCTGGAGAATTAGAGTGGGGAGGGGGTAATCCCTGCGCAGAGCGGTGACTGACAGTCACTTCTCTCTGCAGGGAGATGATCGGAAAGTGAGCGAGCGTCGGTATGCGTTTGCTCACTTCCCGATCTATTGAGCCGACCTGTGACAGTTTAATTGTCACAGGTCGACTTGAACTATGAGGTTGAGTGAAAATCACTCACCTCATAGTTCTCCTTTTAAGAAGCTCCCTGTTCATCCCTTTGGAATCGCTCCCTCTGTAGCCAGATGCAGCGAGATGTCCCTCCCATTGTAGCAATCCAGATTCAGCAGCAGTCATGCCAGCGTCAGACCGACATCTCACTGCATCTAGCAATAGAGGGAGCAGTTCCATTGGGACCGGCAGCCTCTTTAGAGGTCCAGCCACTGTCAATTCTCTGTAGCTGCAGATTTGCCTGTCAGCCTTATGGGGAATGTAGCAGGAAAGGCTGGAACACACAAAAGTGGGAGGAAATACCCAAAACTCCCAGGTGGATAGTGACAGAGTCAGGAATTGTAGCAGGGAGGTCTCGCTGCTGAAGTTTCTAGCACAGATCTGGGCATTTTACAGCCCATGGGCCATATCCGGCCCTTGGTCTGTGACTGTCTCCAAGGCCAGTGCATCCACTGCAAGCCATAGCCCAGAGCAGATCATCAGTCCATGTTTGTACCGTGTTTCTCTTTGGTCCTTGATTGCTAGGACCGCTGGCATCCTACCAGCCAATAATGTCAGAGGTCCCCTGGCAAAAAGTTTTGCCTTCAGTTCTACTTCAAGCTGATCTAGTGGATTTGGTACTTTTTGAGCCATTGAGCTTCTGAATGAGCATGACAGCTGAAAAACATGTTTCAAATGCTGAAGTTAGAAATGACTTCCTCGGTAAGGGCTAGTTCACACCAAGCGCAGAGCAGGTGCAGACCGGATCAAAACTGCATCCAATATATTCCATTGGTATTTTTAGCTCCAGTTCACATCGCAGGGTGCAGTTCCAGAGCAGGTGAAAAAACGGCAGCAGGCCCTATTTTACCTGCTCTGGAACTGCAAACGCATCAAAAACGCAAGCAAATGCCTGGAATGCACTGAAAGCCCATGTTAAACTAAAAAAAGAAACGCATCTAAAAGACTAGCGTGTGTGTGCAGAAACCTGACTGGATCTGCTCTGCCTTTGTTGTGAACAAGGCCTAAAGGTTTCTATTAACTAGGTAACAGCCGCTCCACTTATGTATAATTATTTTGCTTTGAATGATGTCCATCTGGCCCATGAGTGCTCCTGCAGGTGTTGCGTGGTTAGGATGACTTTATACTGCATATGTTACATATTTCTAATGCAGTAAAGCTGAACTCCAGCCTTCCCTTCAGTCTTGGAGAGTTGTACAGGCTCCTCTTCTGTAAATTAGAACCTAAAGCAATTCAGAAAGGGCCCACCTCATTTCCTGCCTGGAGGATGTCCAGCATCATCAGGCGCTTTCTTCCCCAGCCTGACTTTCCCTGGCACACCCCTTACATTCATTGGATTTTAATTCTTTCAGTCATGTAAGCTCACATGTGGATGTTGCCTAAGGTGCTCTTCATGAACATGCAGTCTACATAAGTACAGCCACTCCTTCAGGCTGACACACATCCATCAAGATGCTTTTATATTTGCATAACACTTCCCAAAAGCCAGCTCTTTGTTTGCATCAGGGCTGAGTACTCATGAGAGTAGTACCGAGGTAGGGCGCTGTGATCTTTTCAGGAAGCTATGTACAGCCCCCTGCCGGCCCTCCTACCAGCCTGCCGGCCCTCCCACCAGCGTGCATTGCATAGGGAAACACGGAGACCTTCAATAAGGTATGTAATAAAAACAGATTTAATTTAACAATTTAATTAGCATGTAGATGAGGGGCAGAAAAGAAGGACCAGGGAAGGCAAAACATAAGCAGATTAAACTTGTAAGGTACCTGTAAAGAAAAGACAGAATACTTACCACTCCTGCCACCTGCGTCACTTAAGGCTTCACTGTTGCAGAGAACAGGCCCTCAAATTCTGCTGAGAAACTGACACTTCCGGGAGTGACGATCTCGGTGGTTCCTCCATGTGGCATCCACATCACTGCAGGTAAAAGTAATGATGCTGAGGTCAGCAGGAGGAACCAATGAAATCTGCAGGGGACCCAGGAGATCAACACTCCCGGAAGTGTCGGTCTCCCAGCAGAATTCGGGGGGCCCCTTTTTTTGCAACCTTAAGCAGCCTGGATGGCTGGAAAGGTAAGTATTCTGTCCCTTCTTTACAGTATGTGGTTTGATTAAACTGTTTCATTATGTGGCAGTTATTTTTAGGTACAAGTGTTAAGGTTACATTGTAAAAATATCTTTTATTCCTTACAGGAGAAGACTGACATAGAAGGGACCTTATTTGTGTATACAAGGTAAGTATGGTTAAATGGAAATGTGTAATATTACCCTACTACGTCAGTCTGATGAAAGCATAGGCTATGGCTACACTGGTGAATAAATCTATTTGCTCTTGAGACATTTAAAGCTCATTTAGAGTAATAGAAATAGGTATTCAGTCAAATAGACGTTGTATTGAAGGATTAGTGCAATTTCATATAAACCCATCTGCGCAGTCGTATACCATAAATGTCCATGGGGACATCTCCTGTGGCAGATGTCCCTATAGAACTCTATAGGATTAATTGTGCAGCCTCCAGTTCTTTAAGCTGGCTGACAACTTCTGCGGTGGGCCAAGACAGTGGACTGGAAGTAATAATGTATATGGGGAGTGCGGGTTAGTGTAGGCTGGCAGGATTGGTGGTGGGGGGGTGCAGAAAAGAAAACCACAATTTTTATAATTGTTATGGATGCTAAGCAGTATGAATATGGACAGAGATGAGAGGTGTGCTTTTTATTAAATGGAAATTCCACCTTTTTATAGAAAAAATACATGCACACTTTTTCATAAAAGTAAAGAAATGTGCAAATAATCTTTTTTTTTTTTTTATGCAGCTGCGATCAGTAGATCAAGGGATCAATGTTCTGCAGACTCTGCAGGAAGAATGGACTACAAGTCCCCCTACTGCAGTGGCTGGTGGGATTCGTAGTTTCTCTATTTGATGGCTGTGGGCTTGGAGCAAACCCAGTTTGCTGGTTTTCAGCCAAGCCCCCCCCCAAAAAGTGTATCTTGCACGCCGTTCTCCCATTCCAATCAGCTGCAGCTTGTACTTTGTGATGTGTAGCTGTGGGGCATGCCCTGACCGCAACTGAACAGGAAGAGCTTTGCCTATTCAGAGAAGCATAAAAAGCTTCCGTGTGTCGGCACTTTATAACTGCTAGCAGCTTTATTTTTATAAAGTGAGATATTATAACGCCTTTGTGACCCCAATACGCCATTTTAACTCCAAATGTAAAATGCCCTTTGTCAGGAGTAGGTAGTTAACTATGCAGCAAAGCACTAGGAATGCGCAATTGTGTGTGTTCCGTGTTCCCAGTTCCCAGATCCACGGTCAAACAGAAAAGTTCATTATAGAGTTTCCGTCATGTTAACTATCGCTGCTAATTTTGGTCTGGTCATCCATGCAGCCCCCCCCAAAAAAAACCCTCTGGTTACAAAAGGATTAAAATAATAACATATGGTGGTCAGGACTATAAAGAAGATATATAGACTTCAGTTGGGTTTTAAAGGGTAAACTGAAATTACCCCCGCAAATTGGTAAGAAGCACTTCTCATTGGTCAGTGTGGTCAGGTGGCTGTGCTGACTAATGAATGCTTGCCATTTTTGAGCATTATTGTATACACAGGGTACCGAACTGCAGTGCCAGGTACAGTGTATGGATCGTACATCGGCTCCAGTGGGGGAAAACGGCGGAAAGGTATGAATTGGGGATGCACCGTATCGAGTACTGATATTTATATTTCGGTACTCGCCGATACCGGTACTTCCGGTAGCATGGAGCCGGCTTCCCGGGCAATCTGCAAGCCGGGCAACCAATCATTACCTGCTGCCTGGCTTCCTGATTGGCCAGGAAGTCAGTTCCAAGCTGTTTGACCGGCTCGATACTGATTGGCCGGGAAGCGAGCTTCCCAGCCAATCAGCATAGAGCCTGCTTCCCGACCAATCAAGAAGCCGGGTTACGACGAGTCATTACCCGCGGCCCGGCTTCCTGATTCCCTGGGAAGCCGGCTCCATGTTCATTCCCAGAACTGTAAGTCAGAGGAAATCTCCCTCTGACAGGAAGTTTCGTTATCGGGGGTAAGTATCTCGCCCAAATACTCGGTATCGGCACCAATACCGATACTAGTAGCTGTGCATCCCTAGCATGAATAGCAGACCAATTTGTGGGGGTAATTTCAGTCCCCCACATTTGGTGGGAAACTGGAAATACCCTTTAAAGTGTCACTAAAGTCTAAAAATAAAAAGTAGATTGGAGGTAAGGATTTTTGGCAGTCCATCGTAGTTCCAGGACAGCTGGCGCGCCAAGGTTGTCTACCCCGGCTTTAGGAGGGTACCGGGCTAGTTTTTGCACAATGCTAGCCTCTTAGAAGCTCCCATTCTGTTATCATAATGGTTATTTTTTTATAAGCAACTATGGAAAGCATTCAGGTTCATGTATTCATATCTCTACTGTTATAGGTCAGCATCTCCGCAACATGGCTTTACGATAATGAACCGCCTTAACATGCACAATTTGGTGGAACCCGTCAACAAAGATCTAGAATTTCAGCTTCATGAACCTTTCTTGCTGTACCGGAACTCAAGTTGTGAGTGTTGCCGAATATTTAATGAGAGAGTGTTGTGTGTGTGTGTACTCTGTGTAAGTCTCTGTACTTGAATTTTGATTCTGTACATGGTGAGGAGTTTTATGTGCTGCAGTAGCATTTTAAGGAAGGGGTCAGCAATGAAAGCCTATATATTTGTTGAAGTATAGGTTTCCTGGAAACAGTATAAACGAGGGGTTGGCAACTTGGCACTCCAGCTGCTGTGGAACCGAACATTAGGGTGTTGTTATAAATCTTAGCAGTCAGATATTCTGACGTTTATACCAGGGTGAGGCAACCTTGGCACTCCAGCTGTTGTGAAACTACAAATTCCATCATGCCGCTGCCACTGAGACTCATGACCGTGGCTGTCCGTCTTGCAGTGTGTCATGGAACTTGTAGTTCCACAGCAGCTGGAGTGCCAAGTTGCCTACCCCTGGTTTATACCGATTCCAGGAAACCTATACTTCAACAAATATGTAGGCTCCCATTGCTGACCCCTTCCTTAAAATGCTACTTGCCAGGCTTCATTACTTTCTGAGGCTTTGTCCTAAAACAAGTAAGCAGATCAGAAAATGCAGTTATAACTCCTAATCTGCATACTGGTAACAAATCATTCATTCAGGGAATACTGACACCAATGATTTAATATGACAGCCGAAGAACAACCTTTTAGAAGGACAGCTTTGGCTGATTCCTTGCTCTCTCAAGGTCCATGTAACATTTTTTTCTGAATGGAGATGGACAGTCATTTCTTTGTGGTTTCCAACCCAGGGCTCCTTCCCATGTCTTTGAATCAAATGGGCTATGAGCTGCTAGGTAGAAGGATTTGTTGTAAGAAGGCTCCATATGACAACTGATTATGGATGGACCAAAAAAAACAGCCAGGAGAGGATGCTATTGGGATATTCATAACTCGTCAGAGGCCAGGAACTGGCTTTGCCCACCAGGCTGTACATGTAACCAAAACTGGTCTTTGAGGGAAAACATTTTTTAAGCTATTTCAAATGCTGATAAAATCACTTGCATATGTTCTGGATATTAATATATGCTCGTGCGCATAGAAATCCGCTGCGCTAAAAAGCACAGTTCTCAGCTCTTTTGTATAATATGATGGAGCGCGCCAGATCACTTTTAGGAATCGGGTGTCTGACATGGATGAGAGGAGAGGGGGGGAAATCCCTGCAGGGAGCCGTGAGTGATAGTCACGGCTCTCTGCAGGGACAGGATCGAGAAGTGAGCCAGCGACGGTATGTGTTCGCTCCCTTCCCGGGGTCAGTTCTTTTCCCCATTGTTCTCCTCAGGGTCACGGGAGGACAAAAACTAGAGTCCTCCCGTGACCCAAAGCTCAGTATACCGCAAGCTACAGCTCGCGGTATACTTAGACCGCCGCAGCCGGGACGGATCCCGACATTACTGTCTGGATCCACCCAGCTGCGTGATTGACAGCTGGCTCTGCCTATCTAGAGGCGAGCCAGCTGTACCCGCCCCCTCCCCCGTTCGTTCCTCCATAGTTCTCCTTTAACGAACAGAAACTGAAAGAAAGCTCTGCCATGAAGGAGTTAAAATATATATACCATTCATTCATACATACTTAGTTATATGTTCAAGCATGAGACAAAGCATAAAAAGTATTTCTGTATTATCATTTTTTTCCGCTGGCCATGACTCCCTGAATCATAAGCTATTACAGGTAGGATTTCAAGGTTAGATGACGATTAACACTTTTTCAGACTGTTGCTATAGAAGTCAACTTTATTGAAAAGCTGAAACAATAGGCTGCTTACGCATTTTGAACAATGGAGTTCTTACTCTTTTGGAGTTGATTCAGAACATTCCGTTTGAAATGTGTAAGTGCAAAATGTTTTATCCTCGCTACAATTAAAGACGCTTGTTTGTAGGAGCAGCACGAGATGCACTGATCCTTGCTCCGAGGACACAGGTTTTGTTGGCATTCAGGGTGACTGATGGACTTTTTACTCCAGCTGAGCGATTTTAATTACTGTATGCCAATCATTCAGGGTAACCTGCAATCAGGGAGGAAGAGGAATGTGGATGGCATGGGTAACAATCTGCAGAAAATTGGAGCTGCTTTAAGTGCTCATTTTTAACCACTTGAATACCATGTGTTTACACCCTCTTCCTGGCCAGGCCATTTTTCAGTATTCAGCGCTGTGGTACTTTGATATTTATTCCGTCATGCAACACTGTACTAAAATTCATTTTATACCATTTTTTGGGGACAGATAGAGCTTTCTTTTGGTGGTATTTAATCACCACTACAGGTTTTATTTTTTACTATATTAAGGAAAAATGACTGAAAATTTTGAAAAAAAAGTTTTTTTGACATTATGTTATAATACATTTATTATTACCCAATTTTTGGGTAAAATATAAAAGACGTGGTCACGTCAGGTAAATAGACACCAAACATGTCAAGCCTTAAAGCAGCCCTAGAGAGATCCATATGCAGCCCTAGTGACACCCTAATGCAGCCCTGGTGAGAATGCTCTGGTGAAAGCCCCCAGACACACCGCCGCACTACTAAATGCCCTTCGCAGACCTTCTGAAGCTTGCCATACCCTCCTGAAAGCAAATAAACTTTTGTACTGCAGCTGCCTATTGTTCTTCTCTTGTATGTCACAATGCTAAGCAAATGCAATGGACGATGGCAACTGCATATAGAGTAGTACAAATCTCAGCAATCTGCGTTTGCTGGTTGCCATTCTCCATTGCTGAATAATCATGGATTGCTGAGATTTGTAGTTCTCTATACAGGTCAGGTAAATAGACACCAAACATGTCAAGCCTTAAAGTTCCGCGTACCCGCGAGCAATATTGACTTGAGTCCTTCATCAACCAGCAAAGCTAGGGATTACTGGCGGTAAATAATGTCCAAACTCCATAGCAGATCAAGTATAAGTCTACATATCATCTGCTACCATCACCTCATCACAAAGTTATGGTTGTACGTGGAGTTATTTTAAGAATAGGTTTTGGGTAATTTGTATTGCATTTAAAGCCCAATTACAGCGCCACCACTTACCAACATGTATTTTTTCCTCAGGCTGTTCACATGATGCACAGGGTCCTGGTGCTTCTAGGTACTTTTCCAGTGCTGGGTGCTCTGCAATGATGCAGAGAGCATTGTTGACGTGATGGTGTCAGTGTCATTCTGAGCATCCTTGTACTGTGAGTGCAGGGTGCCACAGTGGTGCTCCTCCAGGGGATGGGCCCATGGCACAATGCATGGTATTTCGTTACCGTTTGATGTGGTGCGCTGCAGCACATGTCCATTGTCAATTTGCCATGGGGTACCATTATGAATGGATGGCACTGCAGTGCCATGGGTTTCTCATGTGTTGCGGTATTGCACGTGTTACCGCACGTGGTAGCACATCACAGCAGAGTAAACCGAGCCTTCTACTCCATGACAGACTAGAATGCTTTGTTGTAGAATGTTGTTTTTTCTCTACAACAAATGGATCATTTTGCTACAATCTGCTTTGTTTTTAGTTTGTAATTATGTACTTTTTGTGCTTTTGGAACATTAAATTGGATTGTCGCCTTTGACTAATGAGCTCCATAATGGAACCAGACATACCATTATTACTAGGGATGCACCGATACAAGCATCGGTATCAGCCGCGATACCGAGTATTTGCATGAGTACTCGTACTCGTGCAAATACTCCAAAACATAAAACGAGTACCTGTGCCGCGTCCGCCATCTTCAGGGACCCGGATCCGCCGCACACAGGACCTCCATCGCGTCTTCAATCAAGCAAGATGGCCGCGACCTCCTCTGTCATCTGCTTTATTCTGACCTCTCCCGCTGATTGGCCGATTGGATGATTGACAGGCTTCCTCACCAGTCAGGAGTGACTGGTGAGGAAGCCTGTCATCATCCAATCGGCCAATCAGCGGGAGAAGAGGT